CAGGCTGAAGTACAGTGGCATGATCTCAGCTCACTGCAACCTCTGCTTCCTAGATTCAAGCACTTCTCTTGTCTCAGCCTCTCAAGTAGCTGGGACTATAAGCACACATCACCACACCCCGCTAATTTTTGTATTTTTTTTTAGTAGAGGCGGGGTTTCACCATATTGGTCAGCCTGGTCTCAAACTCCTGACCTCAGGTGATCTGCCCACCTCGGCTTCCCAAACTGCTGGGATTGCAGGTGTGGGCCACAAAGCCTGGCTGATCTGGTTGTTTTAAAAGAGTCTATATCTCTCACTTTATTCCTCCTGCTCAAGATGTGCCGGCTCCCCCTTCACCTTCCTCTGTGATTGGAAGCTTCCTACATAGCCTGCAGAACTGTGAGCCAATTAAGCCTCTGTGTAAACCACCTGGTCCCTGGTATTTCTCTCTCTTTTTTTATGTTTATGTTTTGAGACAGGATCTCACTCTGTCACTCAGGCTGGTGCACAGTGGCGCCATCTCAGCTTACTGCAACCTCTGCCTTCTGGGTTCAAGTGATTCTCATATCTTAGCCTCCTGAGTAGCTGGGATTACAGGCATGCGCCGCCATGCCCAACTAACTTTTGTATTTTTAGTAGAGACAGGGTTTTGCCAAGTTGGCCAGGCTAGTCTTGAACTCCTGGCCTCAAGTGATCTGCCCACCTTGGCCTCCCGAAGTGCTAGGATTACAGGCATGATTCTGGCCCTGCCTGGTATGTCTTTATAGTGACACAAGGACTAATACAGCATTCTTCCTTAGGATGGAAGGAGAGTTGTTACTGTGGGGATAATATCAGAATAATGCTAGAACACTTTCTGCTGCAAGGAAGAGAAACCCACCTCAAACCAGCTTAAGCAAAAAAAAACGAAATGTATCAGCCCATTGATTCAGTCAGGATAGGCAGGGTTATGCTGTGATAACAAACAGCCCCATTGCAGCAGCTTAAAACAACAAAGGATTGATTTCTTGCTCACAATACATGTCTGTCACAAGTGAACTAAAATTTCAGTCTGCATTTCCTCATTCAGGCAGATGGAACAGTCACCATCATCATCTGTCTCTGTGACAGAGAGGAAAACACTCTAGGGGGCCTGGCAGCCATCTGAAAAATGCTCTGCCCAAAAGTGAGACTTACCACTTCTGCTCACAACTGGCTAGTCCCTGCCAGTCACTTGGCCCCTTCTGGCTATAGATGGTCAGGATGTACAATTCTGCCATGTGCCCAGAAGGCCAAAACCTGGAAATATTTGGTGAACAGCATAATGACATCTATACTCATGTATCTAAATGATCCAGGAGAAATGTGGTTTCAGGCATGGCTGGATCCAGGAACTCAAGAGCTATTACCAGGACTATGTCTCCATCTCTCAGCTCTGCTTTCTTGTGTGTTTCTTGCTACCCCTCCCAGTCCCCTCCTTACAGCTCAGTAATCCCAGCAGAATGAGAATATGAACCAGCTAGGGTATGTCTGTCCCTAAACTGTACTGTTGCCAGGGGGAAGAAATGTCCTATTGGCCAGGCCTGGGTCATGTAGCCACACTCCCAGAGTCAGGGACAGCCACATCCCTGGGCTACTGCATGAGAAGATGCAGCAGGCACCCACAGGGGTCTGTCAAACCTTCCTAACCTCTTGATCTGCATGCTTTCCAGCAGAGCATAATGAAAAAGCACTGAAATGGGTCAATACCACATCACACCTACTCATAGGTTTACATGAAATACTGATTGGCCATTATTAATACCCACTATTTTAGAATAAAGTGACATTTCCATTCTCTCTCCTTTTCTTCCTCTTTCTTCCTCTCCTTTACTCCTTTTTTTCTTTCCTTCTCTCCAAAAAAATAAACAAATTAAAATTAAAATAAATTAATTAAATAGAAAAGATCCAAGTAAGGTTTACACATTGCAATTGGTGGATATGTCTCTTAGGACTTTTTTTCTCTTCTTTCCTTTACTTATTTTAAATTTTTGAGACAGGGTCTCACTTTGAAAAAAAAGAAAAGAACTGAAATTGGCACCAGGAGCCCAGAGTTCTGGTTCCAACTCCGACCACTCATTCAGTGTGTGACCTCAGATCATCATCCTGTGCTGTGCCTTTGTTTCATCTGTCAAATGGATGAGTCTGCCCCTCAGAGCTTGCAGACGGCAAGGTGAGGAGTGTGCCAGCTGGGAAAGTGTTGCAATGGGTCCCCCTTCCTCTTAAGTGAGGGTGCTTAGCGATTCTGGCGTGGTCTTTGGAAGGCGAGAAGCCACCCGTTTCATCTGCTTCTGACTCTTAGTGATACCTCCAGGCCTTTATCCAAGCTCTTCCCTCTTCCCCAAATAGCTGGTACATCTAACAACTCCTATACATTTTTCCTTTTTAATTTATTTTTTTCTTTTTGAGACAGAGTCTTGCCCTGTTGTCCAGGCTGGAGTGCAGTGGTGCCATCTCTGCTCACTGCAACCTCCGCCTCCTGGATTCTCCAGTCTCAGCCTTCAAAGTAGCTGGGATTACAGGCGCATGCCACCACGCCCAGCTAATTGTTGTATTTTTAGTAGAGACTGGGTTTCACCATGTTGCCCAGGCTGGTCTCGAACTCCTGACCTAGAATGGTCCATCCACCTCAGCCTCCCAAAGTGCTAGGATTACACTCATGAGCCACTGCTCCCAGCCTCCTATTCATTTTTCAAAGTCTAACCAACACCACCTCCTCCCTGAAGCCCCCTGGCCCTCTTGATGTGCTGTCTGGGTTACCATCAGTAAGTGATCTGGGACTCGCTCATATCAGCTAAGAGAGCAGATTGTGCAGATCTCTTCCTGACTCTGTGTTTAGACTGAAATCAGGCACTTGAAATTACACCACGGAAATAAGCAAATGCTACAAATCAGGCTTTATTGAGTGCCTACTATGTGCCAGGCTGGGACTAAAGGCAGTGAACAAAATAGAGTTTCTGGCCTGTAGGCTTGTGTTTTGTCTTCACCTTTGTCTCCAGTATCTGTTTATCTCTGTCTATCCGACCAACCATTCTTCCTTCAAACGTGTTATCAAAGCCATTAAGAGTAACAGCAAAGACGTTTGCACCAACCTAATACGATCCTTCTATCCATTCACACATCCATCCATCCTCTGTCCACCCTCCCACCTACTAATCCGTCCTTCTAGGTGAGCCAGCTCTTGTCTCCAACTTTTTTTTTTTTTAAGAGACAGGGTATTGATCTGTAACCCATGCTGGAATACAGGGGTGCAGTCACAGCTCACTGCAGCCTCAAACTCCTGGGCTCTGGCGATCCTCCCACCTTAGCCTCCCGAGTAGCTGAGACTGCAGGCAAGCACCACCACGCCTGGATAATTTTTTAAAAAATAATTTTTGTAGAGATGGGGTCTTGCCATGTTGCCCAGGCTGGTCTTGAACACCTGTCCTCAAGTGATCCCCTTGCTTCGGCCTCCCAAAGTACAGGGATCACAGGCATGAGCCACTATGCCCAGCCTCCAACTTCACTCCCCCATGTTTATGAGCTGAGTTCCCTTCAAAGGTGGAATTCTAAGGAACCTCATCTGCTCCAGTCCAGAGCACCCCCCTTCTGGCCTCAGTCAGGCTCTCCCCAGCCATCTGTGTTCCCCTCCCTCACCCAGCGAGCTCTGGGTGCAGGAGAGCTGTGCTGGTTTCCTGAGAGCCTGTGGCTCATGTGGCACCTGCAGGTGGCTCCTGGAACTTGCTGCCCCCAAGAGGGTGTGAAAACCACAGCACATCTGGACTCAAGAGTCCCTAGGGTGCAGATGTGGGTGTAGGGGTGGTGAGGGCTGCTCCCCCATGCAGAAGCTGTGCTTTCATTCTCACTCCCATCCAAGTCTCACACACCCTGACCCAGGCTCACAGTCCTACTCTTATAACCATCAGCATTCTAGAATGTTCCAGCCTCCTGCCAGGCACTGAGGACTCTCATGCATTCTCTCAGCGACCTCTCCCAGCTACCCCACTTCACAGATGAGTTGTGAGGGAGCCTTCGACAGGACTGACTTCTGCTGACTTCCAACCCAACCCTGCTCCAAAAGCCAGAGCTGGCTCCCCTGGCACAGCCCTGCAGCCTGCAGTCTGGCCTTTGCAGGGAACAGCAGGACCAGGCCAGCGTGGGGGTCCTCCTCCAGGCTCCCAAGACTCCCCAGGGTGCAGGTGCAGGTGCAGGTGCAAGGGGTGGAAATATTTGGTGAACATCATGATGACTTCGATTCTCATATCTAAATGGTCTGGGAGGAATGTGGTTTCAGGCATGGCTGGATCCAGGAGCTCAAGAGCTATTACCAGGACTCTATCTCCAACTCTCAGGCTCCAGAATGGAATCACACTGCTGCTGTAACCTTGCTTGGGTTTCAAAAAGCCAAGCCACTTCTAAGATGGGCACCCTTTGGGGGAAAACAACATATTTCCTTAAAAAATGTGTGTGTGTGTGTGTGTGTGTGTGTGTGTGTGTGTGTGTGTGTAAAGAGAGAGAGTGAAAGAGGAGAGAGAGATGAGTTTTATGCAATACCTAGCACCTACATCTAGCTTCTATACTAAACTGATATTTAGTGAGGTGCCTTGGGAATGTTGCTAAGGGGCCAGGCGTGGTGACTCACACCTGTAATCCCAGCACTTTCAGAGGCCGACCGAGGCAGGCAGATCATTTGAGGTCAGGAGTTTGAGACCAGCCTGGCCAACATAGTGAAGCCTGTCTCTAATAAAAATAAAAAAATTAGCCAGGCGTGGTGGTGCATGCCTGTAATTCCAGCTACTCAGGAGGCTGAGGCAGGAGAATAGCCTGAACCCAGGAGGCAGAAGCTGCAGTGAGCCGAGATCACACCACTGCACTCCAGCCTGAGCAACAGACTGAGACTCTGTTTCAAAAAAAAAAAAAAAGAAAAACAAAATGTTGCCAAGAATTATTTTCTTAGCTTCTTAATTTACATTTCAACAGCTTCTGTGACAAATCATTGACACACAACTTGACTTCCCTCTAATTCTCCAGGATGATGCTGAATTCAATTGTTGAATTGGGGCAGGTGGGGGGGCCACAGCATGAAGTGTGGCTGCAGGGCACTGCCTGGTTTCGGCCTGCACCCTCCCTCCATGAGTGCCATGGGGTAGGGTCCCATGAGCCTTGACCTGGCACGTAATTGGTGTTTAATAAATATCTCTTGGGTGCACAGACGGAATTTTTTAAAACTTAGTAGCAGAAGTCCGAAAAAGAAATCTTGGTTGGTGGGGAGCTGTTTGCAAGAGACAAGACAGACTGTTTTAAGCCTGGAAACCGCCCCAAGTGGTCCCCTGGAGGCAGGACAGCCCCACGGGTGCCCAGGCTGTCAGGGATGATGGGTTTTGTTACCCCCACCCACCTCCTGTGAGAGCCTCTGCTGTGGCCACAGAAAGAAGGAAGCTGACATATACTGAGGGACTATTCTGGGCTGCATACTATACGCAGGTGACATCATCAGTTTCCTCCAAGTGGGTCATGCCTTTTGCATTGTCCAGACAAAGAAACTCTAGCCCAGAGAGGGGAGGTGACTTGGCTCAGGTAGCACAGCCAGAAGGTATCAGAGTTGGGATTCAGACTTTCCTCCATGGGTCTCCCAGAATCTTCCCAACCTGGGGCGGGGTCACCGTGGGCTCACTGCAACCTCTTTCCCTTCCTGCTGGCAGGTGATAAGAAACCATATGGACTTCTTGCAGCTCCTGGAGGCAGATGCTGGAGGGCTGGGCTTGGCCTCTGCCACAAGCAATGCCCTGATCCCACAAGGCCCTGGAGGGGCTGTGGACCAGTTTCTAACACAAGACCCTGGAAAGGAGGAAGGCTGTTGTCATCTGTTGCCCACAGATACGTTTGCTGTGCACCCTGGTACACTCAGGTGAGCTCCCTGGGTCCAGAATGCATAGAGTACCATGGGCACTCTCCAGGCCAGGCCCACCTGCATTCACACACACACATGGATGTGTCACTGTGCCTGCACCTGAGACACAGGCACCAACACACACGCACATACATGCACCTACACACACGCACATATACACACACACATGCACCTACACACACGCACCTACAAATGCACATACATACACACACACATGCACATGCACACACACAGAAAATGTAAACATCATGCTGGGCCCATCTGGGAGCCCAAAGGCTGCAGGTGTCTTCAATCACACCCCAGGTGACCTTGACTCTGGCTCAGGGCCCAGTAGCCAGTGGCCAGTTCTGGACAGCCAGTCAGCCTCACTAGCTGGCCTAGTCCAGGGCTCGAGAGTGGCGACGGAATGACCACCCACTGGCGGAGGTAGCTCGGGGGCGGGGCCTATATCTCCAGGACTGGTGAAGTCACACTCCACAGGGCTGCTGCAGTCAGAGCCCACAAAGCCACTGTCAAACGGGTCCATATCCAGGCCGGCTGGGGGTGAGCCTGCCTCACTCTCTAAGGCCCCTCCGGGTGACTGGCCACCCCAGCGCAGTCCCCCAGCCCAGTCCTCCCCATCTGCAAGGGGTGGCTTTAGTCTGTCCAGGGGCCCTCCTAGCCCAGGACTGCCAGCCAAGACACAGCCACCAGAGAGGACTGTGGTGCCCGTGTCCAATAGTGGGTCTTCTAGGCCTGGGCTGGGCTCATGGCCGGCATCCAGATCCAGGGATGGGTAGCCGTCATCCTCACAGCTGCAAGGCCCAGTACACAGCCCCTCTGCATCTAGCACAGTCGCTGTGTTGATGGACAGCAGGCCGTACGGCCAGTAAGCTGAGCCCCCTGAGTTCTGGGCCGTGGCCCAGAAGCTGGGCCTGGGTGCACTGTCAGACTCCACCAGCGCTGCCGGTTCTTGCACGTCTGTGAGCTGCAGCCTCTTGGCCAGACTCCGTGGTAGGTGGCAACTGTACACCTTTAGGGCTGAGGGCACTTCTGGGCTCCAGGGTCCCAGCTCCAGGATGGAGGCGGTGAGGGTTGCATCCACCCATTTCTGTGAGAGAAAAAGAGAGTGAGTCATAGCACAGGACAAGGGTAAGGTGAGGGTTTACTTATTTTTTTACTTTTATTCTGTTGAGACAGTCTGACTCTGTTGCCCAGGCTGGAGTGCAGTGGCACTATCTTGGCTCACTGCAACCTCTGCCTCCCAGGTTCAAGCAATTCTCCTGCCTCAGCCTCCCAGGTAGCTGGTACTAATAGGCATGCACCACCACACCCAGCTAATTTTTGTATTTTTAGTAGAGATGGGGTTTCACCATATTGACCAGACTGGTCTTGAACTCCTGACCTCAGGTGTTTTACCCACTTTGGTCTCCCAAATTGCTGGGATTACAGGGGTGAGCCACTGTGCCCCAGCCAAGGTGAGCATTCAAACTGACAGAAAGACATAGATGCAGAGACAAAGAGATATCAAGAGAGAAAAAGACATGAAGACAGACAAAGACACAGAGAGAGAGGTGGGAGGGAGAGGGAGAGGGAGAGAGAGAGAGAGAGAGAGAGAGAGGGAGAGAGGGAGAGAGGGAAGCAGGGAGGGAGGGAGGAGGGACGGAGGGAGGGAGAGAGGGAGAAATCAGGACCACGATGTGCTCCCACCATAGTGAGGGTCCCCACTGGTGTCCCCCTCCTACTCCGGGCCTCAGTTACCCCACTCATAGAAGGGAGTTGCTACCCTTAGTAGCCTGACCATTCAGACAGCTGGTGGCCCCATAGCCCAGGCAGGGGCTAAGATTCCTGAGTCAAGGAGACATGAGAGCAGGAGGGCCTGAGGTCTGAGTGACACCTTAGCCATCTCCTCCTTCCCCTCCTCCTTGATGTTTCTTGAAACCCAGCACTCTCTTGGTTTCTGTGTCCCCACCAGACAGACACTTGGCCCCAGGCACAAGTCTTGTCTCTTCCGTCTATGGTTGTATCCCCAGTGATTCCACTCCCTGCTTAGTGATTCCACTCCCAGGAGGCCGCTGTGTGCAGAGGACCACAGTGCCCACCTTTCAGATGATCACTCAGGGCTCATACGACTTGAAAAGTCAGGAGCCCCCAGGGTTGATCTATCCATCAGCTGCAAAGGCCACTCACTTGCCCACACAGGCTGAGTCATGGTTTTGAGACCCCAGGATAGCCAGTCTCCTGCATAAATTTTTAAGCACTTAGTAGGTACCAGGCCCTCAGCTACATGTTTTCCATGAATGGTCACTCCCAACCCTCACAATAGTTACTCCCATTTTACAGATGAGGACATAGAGGTTCAGAGAGGTTAAGCAACTCACCCAAGGTCACACAGCCAGTGAATGCTGGAGCTGGGATTCAAATTCAAACCCCCCCAACTCCAAAGTCCATGTGTCCCTTTGAGTCCATATGCAGCTCAGGATAAAGAAGAGCTTCTGTTATCCATCAGCTCATTCATTCATTCAAAACACATTTATAGGCCATGTGCAGTGGCTCATGCTTCTAACCACTTTGGGAGGCTGAGGAAGGAGGATCATTTGAGCCCAGGAGTTTGAGACCAGCCTGGGCCACATCACACAATTCTGTCTCTACAAAAAATAAACAAGTCAAGCATGGTGGCACCATCCTGCAGTCCCAGCTACTTGAGAGTCTAAGGCAGTAGGACCAAGCCCAGAAGGTCAAGACTGCAGTGAGCTATGATCACCACTGCACTCCAGTGCAGGGTCAACAGAGCAAGATCCCATCTCAAAAACAAAACAAAGCATGTATTAAGTTCCTGCCAAACACTGTTGCAGGCACTGGGGATTCAGCAGAGCAAGGCCGACCAGGAACCAGATACCTTAGAACTGACGTACCACAGACAGAAGCACAAAACAACCAACAGGGTGTTTTCTCTTTTTTCTTTCTTTTTCTTTTTGAGACAGGGCCTTGCTCTGTTGCCCAGGCTGGAATGTAGTGGTGTGATCAGAACTCACTATAGCCTCGACCTCTTGGGCTCAAGCAATCCTTCCTGCTCAGCCTCCCAAGTAGCTGGTACTACAGGCATGCATCACCGTACCTGGAAGATGTTTGTAGTGTTTGGAAAGGCAGCATTTTGCCATGTTGCCCAGGCTGGATTCCAACTCCTGGGCTCAAGTGATCTGCCCACCTCAGCCTCCCACAGTGCTGGGATTACAGGCCCAAACACAGGCTACATTTTTTTTTTTTTTTTGAGATGAAGTGTCACTCTGTCACCCAGGTTGGAGTGCAGTGGTACGGTCTCGGCTCACTGCAACCTCCACTTCCTGGGTTCAGGCAATTCTCCTGCCTCAGCCTCCTGAGTAGTTGGGATTAAAGGTGTGTGCCACCATGGTCAGTTAATTTTTGCATTCTAAGTAGAGACAGGGTTTAGTTATGTTAGCCCGGCTGGTCTCAAACTCCTAGCCTCAATAGATCTGCCTGCCTCAGCCTCCCAAAGTGCTGGGATTACAGGTGTGAGACAGCCCTGCCCCAAACAGAATACTTTCTGACAACAATGGGTGCTATAAAGAACGGGACACTGAACCTCAGGCAGAGGGACCACATCCTCTGGTAAGAAGGAGCCGGCCAGCCAGCAGGGGAAAAGCCATTCCAGGAAGAGGGCACTACCAGTGCAAGGCCCTGCAGGAGAAGAGACGCTGAGTGTGAGGAATAGGGAGGTCAGTGTGGTTGGAGTGGAGAGAGGCAGGGTGGGGGGTCAATAATGAGTAAGTCCAGGCTGGGAGGCTTGGAAAGCTTTGATTCAGCAGGAACTTCTACTCCGGCAAGTTTAGCAGAGGACTCAGTCTACACATCCCTGTTGGGCCTAGAGAGAGCGGTCACGTTCGGAACCTGAACATCTAGATAGGGAAATTAATATCTGGCGAACTCCCATATATACTTCAAAACCCATCATCTTTGTCCGGTGAAAGTTAAAAAGCCACCACATTTTCCCTAACCCCATCCCACCAGTGTCCCCAGAAGTCCAACCAGAGGAGGAGATGAGGTTCATTTAGCTCTTATTCTAGCCCTCAGCACAGGCTCTTATGAGGTATTCAGTGGGTGTTGGGCCCAGGCGCAGTGGCTCACACCTGTAATCCCAGGACTTTGGGAGGCCGAGACAAGCAGATCATTTGAGCCCAGGAGTTTGAAACCAGCCTAGGCAACATGGAGGGACCCCGATCTCTACAGAAAATGCAGAAAGTTAGCTGGGCATGGTGGTGCATGCATGTAGTCCCAGCTACTCTGAAGGCTGAGGTAGGAGGATCAACTGAGCCCGGGAAGGTCGAGGGTGCAGTGAGCCGTGATCCCACCATGACATTCCAGCCTGGAGGACACAGTGAGACTGTCTCAAAAAAGTGGACATTGGACAGAAAGGAGAGAAGGAAACCCAAAATACCTAGCACCCTTCCTGTGGGACAGCCATCCAGTTGTTGGGACCAGCTGGGACAGATTTAGACTTGGTCCAAGAAAGAATGGCCCAAATTCCCAAAATTGAGAGCTGCTGCTCTAAATGAGGTAGTGAGTTCCCGGTCCTTGGGAGGTATGCAAGCTGAGCCTGGACACAACTCATCAGGGATGGGGCAGGAGAGGAGATACCTTCCCTGGGAAAAGGTTGGTTGGACCAGGTGACTCCCCCCAGCCCTGACAGTCTAAGCTTCTGCCCTGGCCCTGAGCATTGAGCTGACACCAGCTCCCCTGCCCCTGGCTTCCAGCCATGACCGGCTGCTCTGTTCTTGAAGGCAAGAACAGTATGAAGAGCTGAAGGATGAGGTTACCTCCTGCAGCCTCCACAGGTTGGCCCACAATGCCATGCATGCCACGTATACCTGCCACATGGATGTGTTCCACTTGGTGGCCGATGACATTTTCAGTGTCAACATCACAGATCAGTCTGGCAACTACTCCCAGGTGTGTGGCAGCTTTGTCCTGGCTGACAGCAGTGAGTATCCGGAGACCCCAAGCTTAGGGTGGGGCTCAGTCTTAGCCCACTGCAGCTGCCTCTCCAGGCTCAGGTGATCCTCCCACCTCAGCCTCCATGGGACAACAGGTGTATGCCACCATGCCCAGCTAATTTTTGTATTTTTAGCTGCAATGGGGTCTTGCCATATTGCTCAGGCTGGTCTCAAACTCCTGGGCTCAAGTGATCCACCTGCCTTGGCCTCCCAAAGTGCTAGGATTATAGGTGGGAGCTGGGCCCCTTACTTGCTGCCCTCTGGGCCAGTCTTTCCCTTTCATCAGATCTAACCTGGCCTATGTCCTCACCAGGTCTTAGAGTTCTGCTTTTGCGTTGCACTATTTTTTACTAAAGTGTGAAGGGTTGATATTAGATTTGAGCAATATGAAAGGAGCTGGTGTGGGACATGGGACGTTGGACCTGGGACTTCTGGGCTCATGTTCTGGCTCAGCCCTGCCCCTCAGTGTGACCACAGAAGAGGCACACCTACCTCTGGGACAGCTTTCCTACTTGTAGAGCAAATGTCCTTTTAACCCTGACTCTTTGGGATCCTGTCCCCATAATAAGGCAAGTGGAGGACATTGAGTCACAGAAAAAAACCCTCATGGGTTTTTCCCTTCATAAGCTCCAGGGAGGCCTGGAATTTCCCTCCAGGCTGGAGGTAGAGGGGGGATCCCAGGGGTAGGAGGACCTGGTTGATGGGAGCAGTTATATCTGTGAGTTCAGAACCAGGGCAGGTGGCAGGACAAGGTGGTTCACACCTGAAATTCCAACACTTTGGGAGGCTGAGGCAGGAGAATTGCTTGAACCTGGGTGTTAGAGACCAGCCTGGGCAATATACTGAGACCTCATCTCAAAACAACACAAAACAAGAACTAGGGCAGGGACCAGGCATGGCGGCTCATTCCTGTGATCCCAGCACTTTGGAAGGCTAAGGCGATTCGATCATTTGAGGTCAGAATTTCGAGACCAGCCTGGGAAACAAGGTGAAACCCCATCTCTACTAAAAACACAAAATAGGCTGGGCGCGGTGGCTCAAGCCTGTAATCCCAGCAATTTGGGAGGCCGAGGTGGGTGGATCAAAAGGTCAAAAGATTGAGACCATCCTGGTCAACATGGTGAAACCCCATCTCTACTAAATATATAAGAAAAATTCGCTGGGCCTGGTGGCGCGTGCCTGTAATCCCAGCTACTCGGGAGGCTGA